TTGCCATGGGAGCCCTGCTCTGCCTGCTGTGCTCAACAAGCTCCGCAAGCAACCCACTCAAACCACTCAGGACTAAGGGCCCTTGGGGGCATGGGATGGGCACCACAGAGAACACTCTCCTTTCCCAATCAGGGAAAAAGGAAAACTGAAGCTGGGGTAGCTCATTAACAAGCTCTCTTAGCCTTGAGCAGATTAAGGAACGAGCACTGGCTAAAGAATTGGATCTTTTTATTGATCAAAGTAAAAATAAAATATGAAAACCTCAAAAACAAGTTCAAGGAAGAGTTTGGGATGACGGGTATTCAAATATTCTTAGTAGCAGAGATCGGTATAATTTCTCTTGAGGGCAAGCTGACATCTTTATCAGAGCCCTCTGACAATTCTGTCTCTGGGAATTTGTCCCAGGAAACTAATCAGAGACCTATTTGTGAGTATTACAAGAATATTTATAATAGAAATATTTTTAACAGTAAAAATCTGGAAACAATCTAAATGTCCAATACTAAGAAATAAGAAACCATTAAACACTGTAATGCAGTATTTATTGATAAGAAAATGCTTCCAACACAACGTGAGCAACAGCATCAATTTTAAATATTTGGCATTATAAAACATTGGAAGACAATAAAATGTCAGCAGTGGTGATTTCCGGTGGTAAGATTATCAGTGATTTGAAAGAAAGAGGGTTTCCTTATACCTTTGAGTTTAACATTTGTATATTGATGTTTTCATTTTTTAAAAAACTGTCTTCAAAAACTAAGACCTAAAGTATGATTTTATGCAGATGCACCCATTGGACTCATGATCATTAATACATTCAAATTCAAGGAACAACACTCCTCCCCTCAGGCATTCCTGGATAAGCTCCCTAAACCTCTACCCCCATTCCAGGGTGGATGACAAGATCCTGTCCCTGGGAATCATGTCCAGGAAGAAAGAGATCTAGGCTTTTAGGGCAGGGGAGACAATGTTTGAGCCTTTTAAAGCAGCCAGAAATTTCATTTTGACCTTTTGTCGTGTTTTGCTTCCCAACTTCCAACCTGACAGGGCACACACTAACTCCAGCAACTTTCATTCCCCCAGGACAGAGTCATAGATACAGTACAGCCTGAATTTCCACAACCTTCTGCATGGACAGGTAACTAGTTTACTATTCGAAGATCCAAAAGCAGCAGAGGATTCACAATAATCAATGCAGGAGAGAAGAAAGAGGTGTAATAGGATAAAAGTTCATACATATAGTCAGTATATATTGTGACTTAAAAAAAAAAGTTCAGAACTTATAAATCCCACTGGGTGTTATTCTGTATGTTGGTAAATTGAACACCAATAAAAATTAATTTATTAAAAAAATAATAATAATAAATAAAAATAAAAAAAGAACTTATAAATCCATAACTATCTTTCCCTCTAGAATGAATAAGAAGAGGCCATAGGAAGAATCAGCAGAACTATCACTTCTATGAATGAGATTAACAAAATTGATGGTGTACAGTTATGAATTAACGGTAAGACAATAGAAAAGGATGTTCTTAATGTGAGTGGTTAACTGAAGCCTGGTGCCTCCCTTTTAACTAACATCTTGGCAAGAAGAAATACAATATGGCCAAAAAGAAATTCACAGTTTGGGATATGCACAAAATAGCTCTGGAGGACTACAAAAAGAGGAATAACAGCAGGGCAGAGGAGAACTGGGAGGCTAAGGGATCTACATGAGAAGAATTTTTCTCCTACTTTTTGCATGTCTGTTCCTCCTAAAACCTATGCCCGATGCATGTATTAACTATTCAAAAAAATGAATAGAACTCCTTGCCTAAAAACAAACTGTAGCCTAAAATACAAATGGACTGCAGCTGATATTGTGACCTAGGGGTGTAGCAAAATTTGTATTAGGGGTTATTGCTCTGTTTAAGTCAATACCCTAATAGGACTCTCTGGATAGGGGGAGTGGGGGAGGCCCACAGAGATGTTCTTTTAAAAAAACGAAAAAAGGAGGGAAATAATTTTTCTACATATGACAAAGTAAGAAGAATTGTGTGTTTCTCTTTTTTTTTTAAAGATTTTATTTATTTATTTGTTTGTTTATGAGAGAAAATGAGAGAGAGGCAGAGACACAGGCAGAGGGAGAAGCAGACTTCCTGCAAGGAGCCCAATGTGGGACTCGAACCCGGATCCCAGGATCATGCCCTGAGCCAAAGGCAGACGCTCAATTGCTGAGCCACTCAGGCGTCCCGAATTGTGTGTTTCTGAGGGCTGCCTGGGAAGAGGGCAAGTGAGATGGAAAGGTGAGAAACGGGCCGGGAGAGACAGGCACCCCATCATATGCAAGAAGGCAAAACCTAATGAGAACCACGGCGAGGGAGAAATTCTCTATTACAAGGGAGCGCCCAAAAGATTTCCAGGAACAATGTTATTCCAACTGTTATTCCAACTGGTCTCCTACTGTGCACTACAATACTACCCACCACCCCCCAGTGTACCTCGAATTGTCAGAAGTTTTAGAGTACACAGTAATACTGTGCTGGGCTTTGGAGAAAGGAAAGGACTATGTTGACTGGGGCCAGACAGGCTGCCAAGAGGTAACACAGCAAACAGAGCAGAGAGATGTTAGAGCGGGGAACCGCAGGGACTCCAGGGGCAGGGCAAACGGACCAGGTGATACGCTCTCCCAACCCCATGGAAACAGTGAGACAGAGCCAGGGAGAAACTTTCTAAAGAATGTGGGCTGGGGATTCACATTATTTCATTTATTCTCTCCTTTCAGCCACTTTTTTTTTTTTTTTTTAGAATTAGCTAAAACAGCTTGGATTTTGATCCAGCTGAAGGCAGAGATAGAGACCAGTGCCTAAATAAGCTCACATCTCCCCCTGACTCCCAAGAGAAAGCATCACCTCCCCTCATCTCCCCAGTTAGGACTATAAGACGGTCAAAGAGGATCCAGCCCCAACACACCCACGTTAAGTCAGGGCTGCTTTTCTCCATTCTGATCTGTAAGTCCCTCCGGCTTAACCAAGTCCTCACGTAAACTCTTCCTGAACCTTAGACCTCACCCCTCCAGCACCCATCCCCGTCCCAATCCAGCTATGTAACCGAGCATGGTGATCACACACCAAAAGAGGGGATAGCATCTCAAACTCAACACTACAGAAATGTTCTCCTCTCAACAAAGGAGAATCAGATTCACAACCCCCCTTCCTCCAAATTTGTTTTACTGACCTTCCTCTCACTGGATTGCCCTGCCTCTAGAACCTGTCATTTCCTATGATAAATCCTTATACATCCAGCCCCTCAGAGCCCACAGCCCCTTCCCACCACTGCCCCAGATCTCTCTCTCTCTCTCTCTCTCTCTCTCTCTCTCTCACTCACACACACACACACACACACACACACACACACACACACACACGTCTCCCAGGGTCCAGCCCCTTCTCTGCCAAAGGGAGGCAGGGCCTCTGAGTTTGACAAAGACAGCTCTGTTTCCTCAGACCTGACAGCTCAGTCCCATGACCTGTCCCCACTGACACACTCCCTCATGGGGCCCAGCCTCCCCCCAACCCACATCCGGGCTCCCACCAGCAAGGCAGCCACAGCCTGAGCCACAATGCCCCAAGCTTCTGGAAGCCAGTCACACAGAAAGAACTTCTTCCAACGCTCAAGCAAAGACACCCTTCCCCTGAGTCTGCACTGGGGAGCTTTTTTTAAGGGGCACATGTCTCAGGCACCGTCCAGGTCAGGCTGTGTACTTTTGTCCTGCCCTTGGGTATCGGGACCAAAAATCATCCTTAATTTCTTTAGAGTCAGCATTTCTTTGTTTGGCATCCTCTCATCACTACTCACTATTTTGTGACTTTTCAGTTCCCATATCTCCCCAGAAGCAGCGGGGACTCCTTTGGGAGCCAGGGAGAAAATGCCCTCAGTGTCAACTCTCTTCTACATACTCTTCTGGACACTCCTTCCCTGAAGACCATGCATCTCAGTAAGTACCAGCCCAAAAGTCTCTCTTGGCTTAAAGTCACTCCCTCTGCCTGCTAGTGCCTTAATACCCTGAGTTTTGTCCATCTTCTCTCAAATGCTTAATTCCCAAGTGTCCTGACTCATAGGCTGGAAGAGAAAAGACTCCAAGGCGTGGAAATACGAAAGTGTGTGAGTCCTGGGGTGGCATTTGAGCTCTTCATCTCTCCTTCCATCCCAAGAGTCTGTTCCATTGGGAGGACAGCACAGCTCAAGGGAGCATTTAGGAGAAAAGCTCCACATGGAACCAGATTATTAGGAAAAGCCACCACCCTGACCCCCGCTCATTTATCCCCCAATATTGGCTTTCCAAGTACCTTCTACTTCCTCTTCCAAGCCCCCAAACCAGTCACAAATGGTAACCTCTTATGAAGAAATGATGTAACTGTCTGTAATCTCCAATGGAATAATATAGAAGATCACAGTTAACCTTTGCCAAGATTGGAACAGTTGTTAGAGTTCCCCTCCCACCTGCCCCATGCCAACAGTGTCTGAATTACTCTGAAATACCATCTGGGAGAAATCATAGCAAATATTTAAGGTTTCAACTCATTAAAAAAGGAAAAACAAAGAATGATTATATACACACACACACACACACACACACCCTACCTGTGATTTGGCAAATCTTTGGGAGATGGGGTTATCCAGAAAAGCATTCCTAAATATCCCAAAATGCAAGACCATTTTCCAGCTTATTCCTTCCCCAAGAGTATAACTTGTCTGCATGGGTATCAGTGAGTAAGGAAAAGAACAAAGTACCGCCACAATGGTCAGGGGAGATGGAGTTGTCCACGCTCACAGCCTTTTCAGTGGCACAGAGAGGCTAGCGGACGACTCATCGGAAGCAAAGTCCCACTTTAGGGGTGTGATTGCACGTCTCAGACCCCACACCCCCTGCAGAACTGGATGGTGACTTTCACCTGCAGGCTGTTACCATGGGGACTGGGCCTGCCTGGCCTGGTCTGCATCTTGTGAATGGTACATACCTCAGAAGGTTAAAGCTCAGATCAAGCCTCTTTGCGAAATGTCCACAGTCCCTGCCAAGGTGCTCTGGAATTTCTCTGCAGTCCTGGCCTATGTAGGACACCTGGAAATTAAATGGAACAGAAACAATGTGGCAAACGGAAATCGCCCAGCTGCTCCCAACCCTGAGTCATTGATCCCAAGATTGCTTCCGTAACTTGCAACGCAAGCTCCCCACCCCCTCACCCCACCCCACCCCACCCCCACACAGAAAGGCCACAGTTGTGACTGTTTTCCTGATCAAATCAGCTTTGGGGGCTTCAAGGACTCTGCCAACAGCTCCCCTTTCCTGGTACATTTAGCATGATGGGGACTAATCCTAGCACAATGGAAATTGGACTAAAATTGGCCAGATTCAGGTGTCCAAAAAAGCCCCCATGTCAGAGCACACTGATATAATCACAGCAATCAGCCTCTCGCTCAGGGGCCTTTCCAACAGCTGCCCCTCTGGCTCTCCTCCTCCCTCTCCTCCTCTCTTCCCCCCTCCCCCAAATACCCTGTTATGCACATTACCTCATAAAAGATACAGCAGATGCACTTACCAGCATTCAACCTGCAGGGTGCTGGAACAAATAGGGTTGGACAAGAAAACCTTCCCAGACCGCCAATCACATCCTATTACCACTGTGTATAAAATGTCCCCCACACTCTCGACAAAGCAGATTTGAAGGCGACGGGGAAATGAAGGGTGGCCACAGCTTCCAAGTCTCTTTTCTCCAGGGAGCCTTTTGCAACCTATCCCACTTGTGTTGCAGGTTGTTCCCTTAGGTCTTCTTTTACTTATTTTATCATCACTATTAACAACCTAGTGTGTGTCCAAATATTAAGAGCTGAACTGAAATTTGATGCAGAATTTCTGATAGTGGGAAGGTCAGAGGGCTTTCTCAAGGCTCCAACTGTTCAATCTTTGAAACACATTTTTACAGATAGTTGCCAATTCGACCACTAACTCCAAAATCCATAAAACAAACCCATGGGTGAGAGTTGGCCAGTGGATCAAAATATATGATACTTCCCTAAATGACTCCCTAACCACCCCACCACCACCAGGTAAAAACTCAGGCCTATTATATGGCTATAGTCCTGACCCTTTTTCAGGTATGAGAATAAAAAAGAGATTCCCCTGGGGGCTATGCTTCCTAATGGAGAACAAGAATATGGTGGCCATAGAGAACACCAGATATTAGGTTGAACATTATGACTTACTAATATTCAATCTTAGAACTACAGAAACAGCACTTTCACAGGACTCTGCCTAATTAAAAAAAAAAAATCACACTGTACCCTAATATGCTGTTCCCAGTCTGTTCCCAACCCTGTCCTAGCCAATGGGAACAGACTGCTGACAGGAGGTATCTTGCATTCACTCCCTCAATAACTTCACTTTTGGAGGAGAGAGAGTAGGCGAGAAGGAACAAAAAAAAAAAAAAAAAAAAACAGGCTGAGGCCAACATAATGATTTGGACTCCAGAAGACACAAGCTAAAAAATAAAGGTCTCTAACAATCTAGCAACCTCCCTTTTCTACATGGGACCTGTCTTTCCTCAGAACTCCTTGTATAATAAAGTTCTGCTTCCAAGTAGAGATGGAAATCCTACAGCAAGAAGACACTGGGGATATAAGGGACTTCAGTTTCCCTCAGGATACCCATTTGATCAGCAGCAGTTTCTGGATTATAATATCTGCAGGCCCATGGAAATCACCAGAAAACCCACCCCTTTCACCCCAGCATGCACCCCCACCTTATATGCACCATTATTCACGATCTCTAGGGTATATACAACATAGAGGCTGAGGTTTAGATGTAGAAGCTGAGCTCTGTCCTTATAGACTCACCAAAGACTAAACCTTATAGGGGGCGCCTGGGTGGCTCAGTGGTTGAGCCTCTGCCTTTGGCTCAGGTTGTGATCCTGGGGTCCTGGGATCAAGTCATATCAGGCTCCCTGCAGGGAGCCTGCTTCTCCCTCTTCCTAGGTCTCTGTCTCTCATAAATAAAATTTTAAAATATTATAGGGATCCAATTTCTCAAAATCCCCCCATGTTCTTACAAAGTAACTAGGACTTCGGCAGCATGCCCAGTATAAGACAGCTTTGTCTGATAAAGCCCAAAGTCCTGCACCAGGCATAGAAACTTCCAACTTGGTCTACAAAGAGTTCTTACAAATCCACATGTGGATGTGGATTTTCTTGATCAATAAACACCAGTGATGCACCTATCATCGTGTTTTGGCCTCAAAAATGTGTCTTCCTAGTTGAATGGTCATGAACTACCTCATGATAGGATGTTGAAAGCCCCAGAAGAACATCAGAACCTAGGGAAAGAGAGGGATATTTGCTCCCCCTTTTCTTCTGTAGGATCTCCTTTCAGAGGCAAAAGGAGCACCAAGGACAGCTATCACCATGCAGCTGCAGCTCATTTACATGCCTAACAAGACTTTCATCAGCTTGTTTTCTTGCAATAGCTTAACACAAGATCCCAGGAAAACTAAATAAAGCACTACTTGTTGCATAGTGAAGACCAAGTCTCTAAAATTTAGTATGAAAACCAACTTGATAAGCCATCTATATGCTTGGACACCAGACCCCTGCCAGTCTTCATGGTAAACTGGGAGCATTCAGAGATAGGAGTTAAGCCAACCACATTTAAGGGTCCAAGTCAGTGTGACAAGGCTTAAGAGCAGCAAGCAGCCACTGCCAGGTGCTGCAATCAACGCTCAAGATGAGAAGAAAGTCATGTTTAGGACGTGCTCCTGAGTGGAAGGCATTATCTCTCAGGATGTCAGGAAGCTTCTCGGAGCAGAGGATTACCTAATGTAACAAGGGCAGTAGAGCCAGGCCAAAAAGAGTTGGCTTCTTGAGCAAATAAGAGAAGGGAAATTGAAATTTATAGACCCTAAATGTAGGAACCCTGGGTGGTTCAGTGATTGAGTGTCTGCCTTTGGCTCAGGTCGTGATCCTGGGGTCCTGGGATTGAGTCCCGCAACAGGGTCCCCACAAGGAGCCTGCTTCTTCCTCTGGCTAGGTCTCTGCCTCTGTGTGTCTCTCATGAATAAGTAAATAAAATTTTTAAAAACCCTAAATGCCACAGAAGCGCACATCCAGAACAAGAATCATTGCATTTAGTCAATCACTTTTAGAATGAAAAACCCAAACTTTGACTTTTCATTTGCCTACCCTTTATCACCAGTATCCCAAGACTTCTACCCTGGGTGGAATAGTAACAGAAAGGGACACCATTATCAGGGAAATGAAAACATAGCAAGATCCCTATATAGGGAAACTGGATAGTAAGTCAGAAATATCTGTGCAAAATCCCCACATACACACATCCCCAGCCCCTCTGAGCAGAAGCCACAGGGAATTACCAAACTGAGGAAGACTACAGATTTCTTTTTGCAGTTGGAACAGTCTGGCCCCCTAGGCATTTCGGAGGATGATAGGTTTGTTAGTGACTGTTTATAGAGATGATGGTTATTTTCTGAGGCCTCACCCCAGCCAGGGGTAGAAGCTCCTCGATTTTAAATCTGCAGCACTGTAAATTCTGTCAGAGTAGAAACCATCCCTGTGCTACTACTACTGATATCCTGGCTGGGTCACAGTCTCAGAGAGTTTGTTTCCTCTTTTGTAAACTAGTCTAACACAAACTGCATCCAAAAGACGTAAAGAATAAGGGAACTAACATTTCTAAATGCCTAGCACCTGGCTGTTACCTAGTCAATCCTGGTGAAATAGCCCAGTGAGTCCTAGATCCTTAACTTACCTATAGCAAGGAGAAGAGTACACAGCACTGTCCATGGCACCTAGTGGCCACTCAGTAAACAGTTGAATGAGACTAATATCCCTAAGAAAGGGATTTGTTAGTCATGTCTCTTGGGCACAAAATTTCAGAGCCTGAATTCCAAGTTTGCATTTGTATCTACAATTAGATCAATGTTGCTACTTTGTCAAAAACTAGTGGAAAAAGACGACTGGGGACTTACTGGTGATATAAATGATGCCTTCAAGCCAAGAGAAGGCCAAATGAAGTCAGATTCATGTTAAATAAAAAGATTTTTACAGAGAAGAGTGGAAAGAGGAAAGAGGACTGATGTAGGCCCGTGAACTCCTAAAACCCCAGGCAACAGCAGTCAGCCCACCGTGGTGTTGAAAGCAGTGGCCTAATTTCAACAAAACATCATCTATCTCATTCAATTGTTTCAGTGGTGTCACGGTGGGGGTTTTTTCTTCTGTGCACTTAAACCATCTCTTTATTTGGGGGATAGGTCTCTCTGAACTTAGAAAAAATTCTATGTGGTTATGTGTTTGTATATATAAGCAGCATTGCAGTAAAAACAGGATCAACATTATCGGCTCATGGGAATTTTTTTTTTTTTTTTAAAGTAGGCTCCACCAAACTTAGAGAAGTACCATGTGACTCACATTCCAGGAACTACTTCTTGTTATGGCTGTCTTTAGAAACTGAAGAGGGGCAGGATGCTACAAAGGCCCTAAACTCCAGGGTTGCCACACAGAGCTCCTGGCCTAGGAGGTTTAGGACATGGGGGATGAACACTCCAGGAGTACTTTCTTAGTCTGTCCTCTCATTAGGGATTGCCTTTGAGCCATTTGGAGTGGGCTAAAAGCAAGAGGTACAGAAAAACCAAGTTAGGGACATGGGGGAAGAGAGGCAGCACAGGAAAGTTCTTAGCCCTACTGTCGAGTGCTTCATGAAGTTGGAAGAAGCTACACCCAAAGAATGCTGGGTCTGAAATGCAGAGACCTAGGGACTGGTTCGGGGAAGGGGCCATTCTTGGGCAGAGGTCCCCTCCTCCAGCTCCTCCCTCTAAAGGCAGGCAGGTTAAATCCCCAAAATCCTTTTCCCTGCCATCGAAATGTACCCATCATTTTTTTTTAAAGATTTTATTTATTTATTCGAGGGGTGGGGGAGGCAGAGACACAGACAGAGGGAGAAGCAGGCTCCATGCAGGGAGCCTGATGTGGGACTTGATCCCAGGACCCCAGGATCATGCCCTGGGCCAAAGGCAGGCGCCAAACCCCCGAGCCACCCAGGGATCCCCTGTACCCATCATTTTTAACCTTTCCCACAGGCTGGTCTGTCCCTGGCCTGCTCACTTCTGAACTGAGAAGGTGGAAACATTTGCCCAAAGTAACCTCAAAAATCTAACTGTGCCTGACGCTACCTCCCTTAGGCAATCCAAGGAGAGAGCTTTAAAACCTCAGAGCTATTTCTCTAGGGCATGCAAGGAAAGGTGAGAAGAGGGTTGGCTTAATCAGAGGTTAGAAAGAGAAACCTGGCTTTTCCAGAAGGTAAAAGCCACCTGGGCCCAGCATCCCTCCAGCAATGACTAAGAACACCTGAGGCTTCACTACAGGGCTGAGAGCAAGTGAGGCTAGGTGTCACCCAGAGTTGAAACTGGAATGTTGCCATTCCTCACAGACACCTGTTCAAAAAGTCAGGTGCCGAATGAGCTCTTGCCATTTGCGACAACATGGATGGACCTAGAGGATATTATGCTAGGTGACATAAGTCACAGAAAGACAAACACCATAGGATTTCACTTGCACGTGGAATCTAAAAAATGAACAAAAAACAAAAACGGACTCAAATACAAGAGAACAAATTGGTGCTTGCCAGAGGGGACAAGGAGAGGAGGATAGGCAAAATAGGTGAAGGGGGTTAAGGGGTACAAAGTGCCAGTTATAAAATAAGTCATGAGGATGAGAAAGTACAGCTTAGGGAATATAGTCTATAATATTGTAATAACGTATGGTGACAGCTGGTAACTACACTTGTGGTGAGCAAGGTATAATGTACGGGATTGTCGAAGCACTGTTGTACACCTGAAACTAATAAAACATTGTCTATCAATCATATAATAAACTAAAAAAAAATCAGGTGCCAAAATAAAACCAGAGGACTTTAGCCTTCTACCTGCCTTGAATAAGGGCCCTCTGCTTAGGATCCAGAGGCAGTCTGCAGTGTGGCCCCCAAACTTAGAGCCTCCCGGGAATGCAGTCTTTGGCGGGACCTAGGTATTTCTGCCATCCTGGGCTCCTTAAAAAAATAAACCACACACACCCCCCTAAACTTAAGTTTTTCAACTTCAGGGGATCCCTGGGTGGCTCAGCGGTTTAGCGCCTGCCATTGGCCCAGGGCGCGATCTTGCAGTCCCAGGATCAAGTCCCGCGTCGGGCTCCCGGCATAGAGCCTGCTTCTCCCTCCTCCTGTGTCTCTGCCTCTCTCTCTCTCTCTCTCTCTCTCTCTCTCTCTCTCTCTCTCTCTCTCTCTCTATGTCTATCATAAATAATCTTTATAAATAATAAATAATAAATAAATAAATAAATAAATAAATAATAAATAAATAAATAATTTTTCAACTTCATTCGTGTAAAGGCGAATATATTAAGAGGTTTTCTTTGACCAAAGTTACTTTCTCCTGACTGTGAGGTTACACACTTTTAATGCGCCCCGGAAACTACCATCAGCTGTGGGCATGGATGACTCTACCTGAGGGAGGACTGGCCCTGCTGGCCTAAGCATTGAGCGCTAGGGACAGAGGAGGCGTAGGGGGCCTGGTGCACCGAGGGGGCCTTCCCCTCTTCCCCCACGCCCAGGGGGTGTGCCGGCCCGAAGCCGGGCTGAGGGGGCGGGCCTGGGCACCTGAAAGAGTCGCCAGCACCAGACACAGCAGCCCCCCTGAGCCTGGGCGAGGAGCTCTTCCTAACCTCGGGGCGGCCCCTTGCCCCCAGAACTCCCTCTCCCCAAACCGACTGCCCCCAGCGGGAGCGGGGCTCGTCCTGGCGGACTTACTTGAGTTCCACTGACCACGAGCCCGGCCATGACGACCGGACGGACGCGCGGCGCGGAGCACCGAGTGGGGGCGCGGAGCACCGAGCGCGGAGCACCCAGCACGGAGCACCGAGCGCGGAGCACCCAGCGCGGCGGCGGCGGGCAGCCCGGCGGGGCGCGCAGTTCCGCACTAAGCAGTCAGCTGACCCGGCGGAAGCCCGAGGCGCCGGCCGGGTGCTGGGACCCGGGTCAGCTGCGCGCCCTGCGCCGCGGCCCCCGCGCAGGTGAACCGAGGCGCGCCCCCAGGTGGCCCCCAGCGCCGCGCGCCCTGGACCCCCGACGCGATCGCCCTGGACCCCCGAGCGCCCCCGGGCGCCGTCGCCGCCGGGGGGTCAGGGGAACAGGAGCACCCCCCACCCCAAGCGCCACGCGCGCAGCCCCACTCGTTAGTGGGGGCGGCCCGGGGAGGGGGCTCCGCGCCAGGGGCGCCGGGTCCGAGCCGTTAGCCAGCCCGGGGCGCGGGCAGCCGGCCGCTCCTCTGTTTCACAATCCAGGTTACATAACTGCCGCGACCGCGGGGCGGGGGGGGGGGGGGGGAGGGGGGCGGGGACCCAAGTCCCCTCCCCCCCTTGGAGGGGCAGCGGCCCACGGGGAGGTTGAAAGGACACCTGGTGGGGCGGGAGGAAGGGGCGATCGGATTTCCCTACGAATAGCTAACAGCCCCCCAGCTGACAGGGATAAGCCCTCGAGAAGGGGAGTCAGTGGGGTCCCCAAAATTTCAGGTTTCTCGGATTCTCTCCCTCTTATTTGTGAAGCTCCAAGTCACCCATGCGGTCAGATTCCACACCCCCACCCCCACCCCCACCCCCACCCCAACCCCAACACACACCCACTCAGCTGCAAGCGAAAGGTGGCCTTTACTGCCTCCTGCACCAGGTTGGGTGGGCAGCTCCTGTCTGTCCTCAACTGAAAGGAACCACATTTTCTCCCTGTGAATTTTTGCCTTCGTGCCTCCATCCCCAGGATGCAGGAAGCTATTACCACATACCACTTCATTGTCACATTATCACCAGAGTCGGTCTGGCCTTGACTGGCCGCTCCCCCCCTCCCTCTTTCCCTCCCACCGGTGAGTACCGGCCCCATCCAAACAGAAGGGGAAACTAAGTCCTGAGGGCCAGGCTCCAGGTCTGACGCCCTGCATTGCAGTTACCTCAATTCAGTAGACCCCACTGATGATTGTAGCTCCCACCGCTGTTGAGGAGGGTGTTCCCAGGGCTTTTGTTTTCATTGCTCGGTGTGTCTAAACAGCACTTAGAAACCCCTGTTTGTGCAGCTGATGATAATTACGATCGTGGTTAAGCATATTGTGGCTATCATCATTGTCTCTCGGGCCTGGTGCCAACACATTGTAATGTGGGCCCTTCTTGTCAGCATCCTGATGAGCGGTGTTGACCTCTGAGGGCTGACCTGCCTGCCCCTCTCCCTGCTGGGAGGAGCAGACATAGCAGAGGGGAACTCTAAGAACAGAGACTTGGCTGTGTTTACTTTGAGGGGTTTCAGGAAATGCTGCAACAAAAGGTCCTACAGGCCAAAAAAGGCAGCTTGCCCTCCAGAGATAAGGGGGATCAAAGGGAATCTTCCAAGGCCTTCTGCCCCACAGACCAGCTCCTCATGCTCCTCTCTCCTTCTCTGCTGGATGCAGCCTCTCTGGTCCATTGTCCACTTTTGTCTGCCTTTCCTGCCCAAAAAGGAGGAAGTGGACCAGGCCCTGACAGTCCTGATACACTGCCCTCTCCACCTTCCACCTTGGCCTTCCTAGAAGGAAGGGGAGAGGACTGGCAGGAGAGGGCATGTGGAAACAGGCTTAAACCTACTCACAGATGAAATGGGAACATACACACTCTCACCCCAGCAGGAGGGTGCTTGAGGTCATCTCATCCGTGCCCCCGCATCCATACACAGCTGTGTCTTCTGAGCACAGACTGTTTTGTGGACACTCTACCAATGACGCCAAAGTAGGCAGGGATCTTTTCTACCTTTCCAGGGCTTCCTCACTATTTTTTCCTTCCTCTGCACAGTGCTGGAGTGATCATCCTAAAAGCCTGATTGGACCCACCTGAAATCTTTCAATGCTCCCAATCAGCTAATAACACAGCCCAAAATTTCCAATGTCACTCAAGGTCTTTTAGAATCCTTTCATCCCCTACCCCTCCCACTTCTCCCATCCTCTGCCTGGCTTTTAGCTGTTTTGCGCCCCCACCCCTCTTGTCTCTGATAGGTGATCACACCCAGGGGGCCAGCTGACTAGGTAAGGGACAGATAATCGGGGAAATCACAAAAAAATAAGGCTAGCTCAGATTGACGTGGGCTTTGAAATGTAAGCTGATGACAACATAGAACTACTGAAAGCTCTTGAGCAGAGGAGAAATTGGTTGAATTTGGCGGGGAAGGGCTCCTCTAAAACCAGACTGGATTCACCTCCCCTTACTGCCTTCAGCTTAGGAAGTTATCTTCAGAAGAGAACAAGTAGGTGAGAGAAGAACAGGAAAGGAGGGAGAAGAAGGATCTGTATCTCTGGGTCAAAGAAAATCGGAATAGGAGGGTTGAGGACATCCTGCTACTTCCTCATCATTTTCTTGAGCAAAAAGGAAAATTAAATAACAAAGGTAAAGTTCTTCAGGTAATATGGCCCTCCCTTTGGAAGTGGGAGAGAGCAAAGGAATGCTGAGATAAGGTTGGCCCAGGAGGTGAATAAATGATTCCTTCCCAACACAGGAAGTTTACAAAAGTGAACAGCGGAGACACATCTTGCTTGGGGCTTCATCTTGAACACATCTCTTTCCACTTTGGCCCCAGAAGCACAGAGGGGAAGAGACGGCTCACCGGGTCATCCAGATTCTTCTTCAGTTCCCTCCCGCCATTCCAGTGAGCAACTGAGTGTGAGCTGCAGTAGTAGACCCCTGCCTCACCCCATTTTCTCCCACAGCTCCTCTGCCCCAGCTTCCAAAGACTAGGCACTCAGGGTGTACATAACGAAGACATACACTTCAGGAAAGATGTGTGCTCAGACATCTGCAGTACTATGTCAGCAAGAAGCCCTGTAATTGTGATCCTATTTCCTGTGCCCAAAATTGAGACAGGTACCCCAACGTGTATAGTATATTCATGGGGACTACAGAACAGAAAGTCCAAATCAGATCTGGGCAACTAATCCTGAGCCTATGAATTCTGGAGCTCTAACACTTGCAAATGGAGAGTGAGAAGGTTCGACACCACTAGACATTTCTTTATCACCCTTGATGAAGAGGGCAATATTTTATTCCTACTGTCATCTTTGTTATTATTATCCTTTGGCAGAAAAGGCCCTTCCCCCTAGAGTTCTTCCTCCATCGCATTCCTGCGGACAAAAAGGAAAATCCTGTTTATTTGCAATCAAGGGAGTTGATTCTGGGGTCGTCCAGAACCAGTGAAACAGGAACTGATTTCTTAAAATCCTCCAACTCTGTGCATCACCAGTGGAGAGGATAGGGCCAGTTAACAAAGTTTTATTAGCATTCCTACCTATCCTTAGTCGAATTTCTATTCAGCCTGGCCTCATTTCTTTCAGGCCCAACCCCTGGGCAGGTTAAGATGATTGCTGTAATTAATCATGCCCCAGCCCCTAGTTCAGACTCACCACATTCAGATTTCAATTAAAAAAAAAAAATCTGGAGGTCTGCATACAAAATGGTCTTTGTTGCTGAAGCAGCCTCCTTTCACTCTAAAAGAGGGAGTTTAGGAAAGAGGAGAGGTTTCCAGGGCCCTTGCTGCAATATTTGCATGTTTGTGAGGGATTAAGGATGATCTAGATTCCAAAACACCTCCCTGATCTCCCAACCAGAACAAATTACATTTTAAAATATATACATTAAATGCAATCATAATGTTTGGCATGATTATTCATGGCATAAATGTTAGTTTATTATTACTGTATACTATTATAATTATCATTGCCATTAATTCTCAGTGCCTGAGTTCCCTGCTCTTCGGATCTTAAAAGATACTGTGACTATTGTTTCTATTAAAATGCAAACATTAGCAGGGAGTGGGGATGGGAGTAGGTTTGAGAAAGGTGGGTGGGAGAGGGGTTTCTGCTTTTCACTGCATATGTTCTGTGATTTTTGCAACAAGCATTACCCTGCCTTTGTAATTAAAAAATAATGGAGGAGACTGGATGGAAGGGTCAGGAAAAGAGAAGTCATAGCTGGAACTGCTACCTGGTAATCTCTTAGCATTATTTTCACAAATCCTGAAAACAGCAATTTGCCCGGAACTTGCTGGATGCTCCCAGTCCTTAGCGGGGGGGGGCCAGAAGGGAGGTTATCTCTGGTTTGAGGACAGAGGCTCATAGTGGACTTTTGAAAAGGAAAAAGAACATGGACCAGAAGAACCTGTTCAACTTCATACTGTCCTGTGGGGGAGAGAGAAGCACGTCCAAGTGCCAGATTCCCAACTTGGCTTGGAGAGGTTCTATTCTTTAGAGGTTGATAAGCCCCCCCACCCCCCAATTAAAATGTACAGGACTGGGGCACCTGGGTGGCTCAGCAGTTGAGCGGCTGCCTTCAGCTCAGGGCATGATCCCGGGGTCCTAGGATCAAGTCCCGCATCGGGCTTCCCACAGGGAGCCTGCTTCTCCCTCTGCCTGTGTCTCTGCCTCTTTCTCTCTGTGTCTCTCATGAATAAGAAAATAAAATATTTTTTAAAAATTAAAAATTAAAAAATAAAATGTGTAGGACTCAGCAAATGAGATTCTGATTCCACAGATGCAGCCCTCACATGTATATTTTCTCAAGTACCCCCAGGTAATTTGGACTGTGGCCACCAGACTTGCTGCTTTAGAAATCATTTACTGCAACTACTGATTGAGGAAACTGAGGCCAAAGGCACGGAAGGGACTTGTCCCAGGCCGCCCAGCACAGGAGCAGCTGACCCTGGGCCAGAATTCTCATCTTCTGAAGGAAATAAAATGGGACTTCTACTACATCCCAGTAAGAAGAGGGTGAAGAGACTGGGGAAGAGCACCAGAAAGGTGCCATTTCACATCTAATCACTTCTTGTCACGTCGTAACCATCTTCCTCATACCAAGCCCCATACTGATGGATCAGAAATAACATTTTCAAAGTTATATCTTCAAGGAAATGGCTATTAATGTTCTTCCTCTCCTTTTAGAGCGCTGAGGAATACATATTAATTTTCTCTCTACTTATATTGCCTATTTGCAAATTGTATTCACTACCCAGTGCTCCAATTTGTCCTACCCCTGAAGAGATTATGATGAATAAATGTGTT